TGCATGGTACTTCTATTTAGCTTCATGGTCCTTCGACTTGTGTTCTCCTTTGGGGGAAATAACAATAATTATACAAATCGTAAACTCAACACAGTCAGGAAAAGAAACCCGGGCAACCATGTCGTACTTCTGTTGAAATACATTTTGTAGCAGTGCGTCACGTCAGAATATTGTTTAAAATAAAATAGTCAATCCCAGCCAAATCTAGGTCAAAGGGTCAGATTGCGTGCATATAATTATAGATAGTTAAAACAAAAAGTATTCAGACTTTTGACAGTTGTTTAACATCTATGCACGGTTACTAAACTAGTAACCGTGATCTATGAAAACCAGAAAATTGTTAGTAGTCCGAATTTTTGCACAGTCGAAAATAAAGCGGAATTTCAACAAGCGGTCGCAAAAGCGAGCGATTGAAAAGCGGAAGCGGGCGAGAGTTGGGCGAAATGAGTTCAGTACTTCTTTGTTTGATGAAGTGATGCTGATGCCACATTGTCGCCATAATGAGGCCACAATGAAGCAAAGCCATAACCGCCTAACTTTTTAATGTCGCGACATTGAAGTGATGCTGAAGCCATAACAATGCCATAATGATGCGATGCTGAAGCGAAGGTGAAGCTGAAGTGAAGCCAAAGCTTCCGCGAGAACTGTACTGTATCATATGCTTGAATACTGTAAGGTAGTTTGACCAAAGCTCCACAGCTGTGTTTATAACTCAGCTGTGACAAATTCCACTCTGTGATACACTGACCCAATGATTTCAGGTTGGTGAAATAACTGATATTTTACCTGTTACATGCATGGCTCTGGCAATTGTCAAAACCAATGCTCTATTCAGTTCTTCAGATTCAGTTGACAAGAGCTGTTTTGGATCATTCAAGAACCTAGATAATTGGGGCTGTACCTCTATACTGCCTAAACTGGTGATTAGACGTAATGCTGTGGTCTCAACACTTAAAAGCAAAAACAAACAAAAACTTTATGACAAATACATGTATTAAAAAAACAACAATGGCATACTAAAAGTATTCCATACTGTCCTATTACAGTATAGATATAAACAATAAGTTCAATAAAGTCAGATGTTATAAATAAAAGAAAGTGAAAAAAAAATCATCTTATTAAAATTACAACACTCAACAATGGCTCCCTCAGTTACGATGACTTAAAATGGCCAAATGTTTTTTTCTTAGGTATTTCAACTCACTAAATATATGTCAAAATTCTCTTTGAGGCACGACATGGGGTAAAATGTTGATGTAAACAGCTGCATAATAGGTGATTTTCTGTTAAACTGCGAGATCTCGCGAGTTGCATGAAAGACGCGCGTCGAACGTCTGCCGAAAAACAAATGATTTGATTTTGAACACGAATTTTTTTATTTCGTAGCTCACATCGACCGTCCAATCTTCAACAGAGAAATATTGCTTTTGAATACCATAATGATTACTTCATCAAAATTGCCTATCATCAAATGTGTACAAATAGGAATTATTCCCCAAAATACGCGATGTTTGACGCCACTACGACGCTATGACCTTTGTTTGTCCTGTTTTTACATTTGATTTCACGCATAACGTGTGATTCTCGCAGTGAAAAGAAAATGGTCAATTAATTTTATTTTGAACAAATAATAATATACAGATTACAGTATGGAAAAATTGGCAAAGACATGAGAGCTTGACGTGTTCCCCCTTTAATGGCAAAATTTACAAAATGTACTCACCATAGATGTAACTGATGCTGATTTGTCTGTGGAACGATTGCTAGAGAGTGCAGATGACTCAGTAATTGTACTCTATAATGCGGTTGTATGTGGTGTAATCGATAGCTGAACATCTCTAATAAGGTGTGAAGTGTCCCCCATGCATGACTCTTGAATACAATTGGCAACAGCTGACCTAAGTAACAAACACATACCATATTTGGTCATTGGTATCATAGTATTGCCAGAGTTCAAAACCCATCTGAGTTGAGCCCTTTTGACACTTTTACAATATACGCCTAGATAATGTTTGCCATTTTTTTCAAAAATGTTGATCAAAATCTGTAACTAATGGTAAATAACGGAGAAATAAATGTGTAAAATGTTCGACCAAAATTCAGCCGTAGAAATTACGACATTCAAAATGTTAAAGAAATAGCATACAGAATGTGTTCCCATTCCATTCCATTTCATGTGTTTCATGTTTGGCAAAACAATTTTTATCTGACACCAATCCAGTCTCTTTACCAACCATGTGTTTACAATTACTCACCAATAAAACCTTTAATTCCAAGAGATTCAATCTCAATGTAGACTAACAACCGACTGTACGTCTCCACCAATGCCGGCGCTAGTGCTATATTGGCCGTCATAGGATTCTGGACCATCTTCATCACCTTGGTAACAATACTATGAATCAAACTAAAAAAAAAAATCAATGAAGTGAATTCAATTCAGTGCCATATTGGATGAGGAGTTGATTCAATGAGAGACAGAGTTGTGAGCAAGCCCAAGGAGCAAGTAAGCTACGATTGGTTTCACTTGTCTCAGACAAAAAAAATCTCCGATAGAAAATATAATGATCTACAGCATGTGTGGTAAGACATTCACATAAGATTTCTTTCAATCAAAACTAAAAAATATGCGACAAAATCCTGGGTATGAATATCTAAAAAACAATACATGGCAGTGTTGGGAGTTCATTATCATTACGTTTACAGTAGTACATAGGTAAGTGAATCCAGTAAACTCATAGATAATGGTGTGATCGGTCCTGAAGCGACACAATTGACACCAGCTATTGGTGTAGTTGTTTTACTGAATTCACAATAATGCCACAGGTCAGGTTTTTATCAAAGATACATACCTCATCTTTGCATGGATGGTAAGGGAATCCAGTAAACTCATAGATAATGGTGTGATCGGTCCTGAAGCGACACAATTGACACCAGCTATTGGTGTAGTTGTTTTACTGAATTCACAATTATGCCACAGGTCAGGTTTTTATCAAAGATACATACCTCATCTTTGCATGGATGGTAAGGGAATCCAGTAAACTCATAGATAATGGTGTGATTGGTTCTGAAGCAACACAATTGACACTAGCTATTGGTGTAGTTGTTTTACTGAATTCACAATAATGCCACAGGTCAGGTTTTTATCAAAGATACATACCTCATCTTTGCATGGATGGTAAGGGAATCCAGTAAACTCATAGATAATGGTGTGATTGGTCCTGAAGCGACACAATTGACACCAGCTATTGGTGTAGTTGTTTTACTGAATTCACAATAATGCCACAGGTCAGGTTTTTATCAAAGATACATACCTCATCTTTGCATGGATGGTAAGGGAATCCAGTAAACTCATAGATAATGGCGTGATTGGTCCCGAAGCAACACAATTGACACCAGCTATTGGTGTAGTTGTTTTATTGGAGCCATAAATCGTCTCAACTAATATCCCCATCGGCAACGTGAAATATTCCGTATTGGTGCTATCTGCGAGTTTAAGAAAATGGTAGATGAGACCAGTGTGCCCTCTAACAATACTAATTTTGTAGGACGCCTGAGTCAAAATGGAATCTCAAAAATTAAGTTGAGACAGCTTGTTGACAGCTGGGAAGGTCAGTCTTCAAAAAAAGAAAATTGACAAAACTAAACTTACAAGCATTACATAGAAGTGCAATGCGATAATCTGACATTGGTAAACTCTTTGTCGTAATACTCTGATCAAGAAATCTGCAAAATATAATCAGATAATGTTTATATAAAATTGAGCAATGTTGATCAAATCGGCTTGAGTTTGGTTGTGTATTCATTTGTCATTTAGAAAATAGTGAAATCAACAAGCAAGTGTCTTCCTCAAAACAAAGTTGATAATGTTCTGCATGATGAGATATTAATATACATGTATCTGGTCATGGTAATTTGTGTTCCAACAGTGTTCTTGTTTTATAAGATCAACCCATGGACCCCATATACCAAGTGCATAAGCAATTGAGCAGGTAGTTTTCAAGAAGAAGAAATAGCATTTTTTACCAAAAATAACAACAAATTTCACTAAAAATTGGGAATTTAAAGTGCCTGTGCAATGCCCACCCTCACGTTTCCCATTTTAGATCTGTGTCCCACTGAAATGGGCAGTTATTGATTTTTTTGCTGAAAATGATTACTCGTATCCAAGTTAATTTGGGATATTTCTCGTGTTGTAGCCACGCCCACCTATCCTGAAACGGTCGACTGTTTCCAGATTTCCGACTCTCGCCGAAAGTGCGCCACCAAATGCCAAAAAGTCATACCCCTGAGCCGTAATAACACTGGTCATTCAGTATACTTTTGAACGATATACATTTTTCGGTCGGCCTTTTTTTTTTCGTTTTTTTGTCTATTTTATTTTATTTTTTTCGAGAGAGAGTTTTTAGATGTTGTGTTATGGGCAGTTGCAGTGAAACGTATAGTAATAGTGTAAGTATTCACACGTTTCTAATTGATCCGAAAGTGCGACATCAGTGGACGAAAGCCACTTAACCTCAGCTTCTTTTTTTTGAAAAAACTGTCCTCGTCATGAAAAAAAAAAACTAGGTTTAAAGAGA